ATTATGACTAATAATGATTTAAAGGCAAAGCAAACTTTCTAATGCCGATATTATTGCCTTTTCCAGTTTAGATTCTATGTAAACATTACTACTTTTTCAGTTAGTTCATCTCTTGACTTTACCTAACTTGAGGTATAACACAACTTATCTCAAAAACCACTTGTGTGAGTCAAACAATCCTGCAGAGACTTTCTGATGAGAGCCTATGGTGCATTCCTGAAAATAAAAAAGATGGTCTGATTTTCATGTTTTCTCTCAAGGTTTCCCACGTCTTCACATTTGGTTTAATAATCAATACAAAGAATTGCAATTTCTATAATGTGTGTTGTTAGCAAATAATATCTATGGCACCTTAACTGTCATTATCCACATCTGACAAGAATTCAGGTGTCACTGGACACATTTTCTCTTCATGCCTTACAAACATTAAGAATACAAGAAAGGTTACATCCTTTAGAATCATGAAAACCCTAACTTACCACAGTATTATTCACAGTTTCCAGTGTGTTATTTTACCTTCTGACAAGTTTTATAAAGGAGAAGGGAATAAAACTAACTTACATTACATACAAGATGTTGCCTACATAGATGCCAGAAAGGGAAGCAAATGAACAGCCAGAACATATGGCAGTGAGCTGACAGCATAAAGAAGCTAGTTCTGCATGAGCAACAAGAAACATCTTGAAATGTTCAAGACATATGTGTTTTTAGGAAGAAGACTGAAGTGTTTCATAATAAAAACAGGACAAAGTGAACCATGAGTGCTGAATAAAGTTTTAATTAAAAAAGGGTTTTTAGTCTTCAGTGTGAATATACAATATGCTTCACAGATGGATTTTATATTTAAGCCTTATCCAAACCAAAGAAGTGAGTGAGACAAATAAAGCTTCTGAAAATGGTACCAAGGCTAAAATGTATGTAAACAATGAAGAGTTCTGGTACAAACAAACAAGGAAAGAAGAACAATCCTTCTGCCATCCATTTTCCACTTGCACATTGCGTAAGTAGATTGTATAACCTACCTTTGGTGCAAACACAGCTCTCTCCAGTTTAAGCATATGATAGACACATATAATTAGGAAACAATCCAAATATCCAACAGAGAAATGGTTAAATTACTTTATATCAATGCAACATTAGCCATTAAAAAATACACTTATGCATCACTTTAGAAAAATAAAGAAATGTACATGTATTAATGTTAAAATAATAGGACACAAAATTTGTAAAAAAAAAAACCTTTAAAAATGCAAGAATATTGCAATAAAATATACAAAAATATTAGCAAGTTACCTCAGGTTTTTACTTTCATGTAACTACTTCTCTGAAGCTTCCATTAATAGTTTTTATGCAGCACTGCTTTTTAAAATAGGAAAATAATGGACATTTGAAAAGTCTAATTAAAGTTGAAATATTTACCTAGAAAACCTGATATAAAACAAAAATGGTTCTAAGTTTATCAGAAAATATTTTCATATTAATCTTTGATGTCTAAATAGCTTCATTTTTGTTTCAAGACAAGAAGGAATTATTCTTGAAGTTCACTGGCTATAGGCAAACAAGGAATGACAGATAACCTCTCCACTAAAAACGCAGGCATCTAGCAGATGAAGATCTGACAATAATGTATAAGAAGCACACAGGGCCAATGAATATACTTTTCTATTTTTTCTTTGAAAAAAGTTTAAAGCAAACACAAAATGATATCTAAAGCTCTTTACAACATATCTAAAAAGCATGGGTTTAAGCTGGAAAATCTCTGGCAATGGGCTTGGCATTTCAGAGTATCTTAATGACAGGAAATATTTTTATATATGTAAAATATTTATTTTTAAAAGTTCAGCTGAAATTAGAGTTTTGTGTGAGATCTTTAAGATGGATCAAAAGTATATTCAGAAATATTCCATATATTTCCTAACAAGGTTTTTTGAAGGTTTTATTTCATTTAGAAGCCATATTTATTTATTGTCATAATCACTGATGTGCTCCCTTACATGAAACTCTAGCTCCAGAAAAGTGATCAATTTGCTGCTCCCAAACACATTTCATTAAATCTTGTTTCCATACCTGTAGCCACTGCTCAATTTTTCCCACTTACAGTAATTTTCTCCTTTTCTACCTATTGCAATTTGACCTGTCCTTCAGACTGAAGTCATGCCCCTACTCTATTCATAAAGCGTTTTTAGATAAATAACTTTAGTTCTCTCCATCCTTTGAATTCATACTACTCATTGATTCCTCGGTAAATATTAATTCCTTTGTGGTAATCTTTTACTATGGTCTTTTCAAGTATTTATTTCATCTGCTAAACTAGATTGAAAGTTCTGTGAGAACACTGAACATTAAAGAAGTCAGATTTTTTTTTTTTTTTTAGATAAGGTCTCACTCTGCTGCCCAGGCTGGAGTGCAGTGATGCAATCATGGCTCACTGCATCCTTGCACTCCCAGACTCAGGTGATCCTCTCATTTCAGCCTCCCAAGTAGCTAGGGCTACAAGCACATGCCACCATGCCTAACTAATTTTTGTATTGTGTGTGTGTGTGTGTGTGTGTGTGTGTAAGTTAAATCTCACTATGTTGCCCAGGCTAGTATTTTTCCTTTATGTCATCCAGTGTGTAGTTCACAAGTGCTCAATAAACGTGCTGAAAGATAAGAAATGGCTGGAGAAACACTGATTACAAAGCTCTTACCCTTGGCTTTAATGTGACCTTTGGGATGTCAGATGTATCTGCTTAATCGTATTAAGAAAATGAAAAGGCATTATTTGAGTACCCAAATATTTTTTTGGGAAGAAGACAAAATTTAAAGTCTATTACAAGGCACACAAACAAAGAAGGATCTTGATGTGATTTCAACACACATTTCCAGCTTATCTTGGATCCCAATTTTACCATATTCCCTTATACTCTAACCATATTAAACTTCTTTTTTAAAATTATACTTTAAGTTCTGGGATACATGTGCAGAACGTCCAGGTTTGTTACATGGGTACACGTGCCATGGTGGTTTGCTGCAACCATCAACCTGTCATCTACATCAGGTATTTCTCCTAATACTGTCCCTCCTATAGCCCCCAACCCCCCAATAGGCCCTGGTGTGTGATGTTCCCCTCCCTTTGTCCACGTGTTCTTATTGTTCAACTCTCACTTATGAGTAAGAACATGCAGTGTTTGGTTTCTGTTCTTGTGTTAGTTTGCTGAGAATGATGGTTTCCAGCTTCATGCATGTCCCTGAAAAGGACATAAACTCATCCTTTTTCATGGCTGCATAATAATCCATGATGTATAAGTGCCACATTTTCGATATCCAGTCTATCAGGACATTTGAATTGGTTCCAAGTCTTTATTGTGAACAATGCTGCAATAAACATACATGTGCATGTGACTTTATAGTAGAATAATTTATAATCCCTGGGGTATATACCCAGTAATGAGACTGCTGGGTCAAATGGTATTTCTGGTTCCAGATTCTTGAGGAATCATCACACTGTATTCCACAATGATGGAACTAAAGTTCCCTGAATATGCTGTACTTCTTCATGCCTCCATGCAAGCTCTAATGGCCTACCTCTCCTCTTCTGACAAAATCTTAAGATCATCTTTTAAGATCAAGATGAAAGGCTGAATCCTTCCTTATGTCTTCTTCATTTGTTAAGGAAGTGGTTACTTCCTCTTTCATGCTCCTAAAGTACCCACCTAAACATTTCCTTCATATATTTACTTATATTGTACACATCCATAATATACAACATTTTATAACACACTGTAATATATTTGTAAGAGATCAGGATACATCTTATTTTATATTTATTTATATTTGCCTAGTGCTGCTGATAGTATCTGTTTTATCAGCTTAATTATAAGCGAGCATCAATGTTTGCTTAATGAATGCATAAATAAATGAATGATCTTGTTAACTGCTTATATGAAAGGAGGAAAAAAAAAAAAACTCCTGGGATTTAAAGCCTAGCCATGGAGAACCCAAAATGTATATAATTCACATGGAATCAAGGGCCAAGCATTATGTTCCATGGGGCTCGAGGTATTTTTGCCTATTTTTATAAAAAAAAATCAAAATCAATCCAGATTGTGAAGAGGCCAACACAATGAAAATATTTTAAAAGAAGGAAAAATTAAGATCAGAAAAAAGTCCCACATGCTCCTTCCCACAGAGGAAGCTGTGAATAGGTGATAGATCCATGGTTTTCAAACTCGGGCAAGCGTTATAATCACCTAGAGAGATTTAAAAATTACAGATGTTAAATTTACTGCATCAGGATCTGCAGAGGTTGGGGTTTTTAACAGGCTTCCTGAGTGATACTGATCAGTTAGGGGTTGGAACCACTGACCTTGAACATAAATAACCAAAAGCCTCACCAGCTTTAGACTTGGATGTTATATAGTCAGGCATATCCCTTGAACAGATTACTATTAGATATGTCTCAGATATTCTACTTTTGAATCCTATCCCTAGGAAAAGTTCTTTCCAAATTATGACAATTTCCAATTATGTTTGGCAAGTAGATTACTGTATTTTTAAAGTCCCATGCACTCTTTATTACTAAACATTTCCAGTAAAGCTGTTAACAAATTACAAGTTTACTAATTTCCTTCACTCTTCAATGTAGCAGAGATGGGTTAATAAGCAGGTGAACTAACCAACAGGGGCAGTAAGAACAGAGAAAGCAAATGTTTGGAGCTATTCACAAACATATCCAGATACAGGTGATGGGGATGGAGGCAGCAAGCCACATTGCCATGTATGTACCTATGCAACAATCCTACATGTTCTTTACATGTACCCCAGAACCTAAAATGCAATTATATATATAAAATGTTTAAATAATGGAAAACTAGCTTCCTCCAATATAAAAATGGTTCAATCACTGAAAATCAAATATCACTTCTTAAAATCCAACATTAAACTCAATACCTAAGGAATATCAAACAATAGTAGGGAAAAGTTCTATAGACTATGTATGAGAAAATATTAACATTTGAATGTAAGTCATAGTTCAGACACTAACACTCCCACTGTGTGACCCACAAGAGACACTTAACCTAAACTTGAGTTTTCTTGTTTGTAAAAAATGTAAATTATAATCCCTGTTCTACCTAATTCACAAACATGTTATGGAAGGATACAATAAAGTAAGTAAAATGCTTGAAAATGATAATGAATTATATAAAATGCAAGCTATTATTTATTATAAACACTTATTAGAAATAGTTTTTCCAAGGTTTTAAATGTTTGGTAGACAAAAATTCACTAAAGTCAATTTCTTTTTCCATTTTCCCAACATAAACACTTGAAAATACTTCCTAATTCAAAAGCTGGCATCTTTTCTCTCATTTGGCAAAAACCATTTCCCTCCGGGTTTCCAGTGGAAGTGAAATTATTTTGACTGTTTTTGTTTAAGATTATCAACAAAAACCTCTCCAAAACCTCTCCAAATGCTGCTTCTATGCCAAAACACATTCTTTATGCAGCACAGTTGTAGGAATGTATTGTATGTGAGCTACTACTGGGCCACAAGGAGAATTGAGATAGCATATTTTTTCTATCCGTTAGGAATATTCAAAATATTTTCAACATGTCCTTGTTAAGTGGTAGATTCCTTTTCAATATGACATTTTCTTTAACCACAGATGAAAAACAGAAAAAAGGAACTATGCTAAGTAATTATTTCAGAAAATAAGTATTATAGATGAGTCCAATAGATAGTAAGCTATATAATAATTATAAATATTATTTATAGAACCCTTACTGAAATGAGAAAAGTTCCTTATCCCTGTCACAGGGCATGTGATGCTGTGGCTCACTTCTTTGGTGCATGCTGCTCATATCCTTAGGGGAAGAATGCAAACGGGCATGTTGTGGGGAGTGCTGACCCCAGAGCAGCCTCTAGGGTTGAGTGTTTATAGCTCCCGAAGCCTCAGTGGGTATGTGTTACAGTGCACTCTTTCAGTTTTGCCATTGCAGGTGGCTTGCATTAATCAGCTCAATTAGACCCTCTACCTTACAGAGGGCTTTCTGTACCCAGGGTTCTTGTCTTAGTGTACTGGAAAAATCGAATCACACGTGGGCTTGGAGAATGAGTACAAGGTTTTATTGAAGGGTGGAGGTAGTTCTCAGCAGATGGATGGGGAGCCAGAAGGGGGATGGGGTGGGAAGGTGGTCTTCCCCTGAAGTCGGCCACCCAGCAGCTAGACTCTCCTCCAACTGCTGCTGGCCGAATTCCACATTGTCCCACCTGGCCTACAGGCGTCTGCTGGTCCCTGTTGGTGTGCTCCTCTGCTACTCTGCTCCTCTTGATGTCCAGTTGCCTGTGTGTGTTCATCTGCCCGATGTCCAGCCGCTTGTGTCTGTGACCGCTAGGTTTTTATAGGGGTTTTTATAGGCACAGAATCGGGGGCAGGGTGGGCCAGGGTGGTCTTGGCAAATGCAACATTTGGGCGCAAAAACAGGGGTGCCTGTCCTCACCTAGGTATGTGGGCACAGGCCCGAGGGTAGAGCCCTTGCCAGGGACCCCACCTTTCTCTACCCAGCAAATCCGTGTCCCGCTCCCTTATCATTACCATGTGCTAGGCATTGTTTTAGGCACTTAAGATGTCTACTTAAAAATAAAAAGATGTGTGTGTTTTTGCCTGTGTGTGCACATGCATACACAATCATATGTTATAATCTTCTGAAAAAGGTGATTTCTCAATCACATTGAACATTCCTAAGAGCGATGGAAACGTTCATCTAGTTGAGTTCATTTATGGTCACTTCTTCTGAACTAGGGTGATTAACTTCTAGTTCTAACATTCTCCAAATTGGAAAAACATGGTTAATTCTATAAAACGTAAGTGTGCTAAATATATATATATATATTTTGAGACAGACTCACTCCGTCACCAGGCACCAGGCTTTAGTGCAGTGGTGCGACTTCGGCTCACTGCAACCTCCGCCTCCCGGGTTCAAGCAATTCTCCTGCCTCAGCCTCCCAAGTAGCTGGGACTACAGGCGTGTGCCACCACGCCCAGCCAATTTTTTTGTATTTTTAGTAGAGACGGGGTTTCGCCATGTTGCCCAGGATGGTCTCGATCTCTTGACCTCGTGATCCACCTGCCTCAGCCTCCCAAAGGATTACAGGCATGAGCCACTGTGCCCGGCCGCTAAATTTTTTTAAAATCCAGAAAAACTTCCTAGGATTGAAACTGGTTTTAGAGGACATACTCTCAAACTAAATTCATTTTTGTTTTAAAAAATAATAACTGTATAAAACTTAAATGGATAATATTCTCTAACTGTACTCATGTGTATAGCTTCATGTGTAAAACCTACATAGAACTTCTCTACCAACATGTACAAAGCATAAAATATTAATATAATGTTTTAAAAAACAGAAATAATGACACTAAGGCAGCTGTCTATGCCTGGATGGATTTGCGCACAAAACAATAAAACTAATGACAGGGAAAAAGGTACACAATTATCTTTATGCATCTACTATTTGTCAGGTATAGTGCTAGTCACTTTGCATCTTTTACCTCATGTAGTCTTCATAGTAACCATCCTAGGTAGGTATTATTCTCATTCCATGGATAGTAAAATTAAGGTTTGAGATCTCTAGGTTCTACCACACTACAGAATCTAAACCTGGACATACAGTGCTGTTTTTATTCTCTCACACACCATACATAAATTAAACAACTAGTAAATTTAAGAGCCATATCAAAATACCTGAATAGAGTAATTTTGTCCTATGTCTTAAAATAATTCTGAGTATTTTTCTATACTATTCAAATAGCTCATTTTTTTCTCTGATCAGATCCTCAACATCTTCCCAAATACTATATCTACTGACTTCATATTTTAGTCATTACAGTTACCGTTTAATGAACACCATGCATTGTAATAGATACTCCATGCACATTAACTCTTTAAACATCTACAACAACCCTATGAAAATATCTTCTATTCTACCAGTGAGGAAACATGTTTTCATACAGGTTAAAGAATACAGAGGTGACAAATTTAGAGAATGGAATTCAGGGTCTGTTCAACTATAGAACCAACAGTACTGCCATTATGCCAAATGCAATATTTTTCAAACTACAAATACTCTTTCCCAGATCATTTATAAATGCAAGGTATTATGATAAGGTCTAATATATGACAAAGAATGTCCATATATATTTTCCCATTTAATCATAAGACTTATCTGAAAAACGAAGGACAATGTTTATTATCCTATTTCATAGGTAGACAAAGATGAGGTTCAGAAAATTGAAAGAAAGTGCTTTTTCCACTATACAATGTTGCTGTCAATTTTTTGGTAATAGAAATAAATAAATATATAAAGTATAAATACACTTACATAGCAAACATAAATCACAAATATGTATTTCAAATATACATTTGGTATATAAATTTTTAAAAGTACATATTAAATAAATCCTTCTCCAACCCTTTGTTTGCTTATATAACTAATTTTGCTATTTTAAAAAAGAAGTCAATGAATTAGTGAAGGATTATTTTTATTGGCCAATGAAAGTCTCTAACAGGATACACCTATTCTCAATTCTATTACAGCTGTTCAAAGACAATGTCTTTCAGTACAAATTTTTTCTTCGCCTTCCTTCCGAATTCTATCATGTACAAAAAAGCTAAGCTTCTTTAAATTTTTACTGAAACAGAAATGTGGTGATGCTTAAATGTGTGGTTACTCAGCTAAAGAGGGTGACTGGGGTTCCAGAGGCAGTACATGCTAAGTCTTTACCTAGAACTATCTCATGTATACACTGTAAAATAATGGCAATCAAGCTAATTAACATATCCATCGCCTCTACAGTTACCATTTGTGTTTGTGTGTGTCTGTTGAAAAGATTTAATGCCCATCCCCTTAGCAAATATCAATTATACAACAGTTTAACTATCATCACCATGTTGTACATTAGATGTCCAAAAGTTGTTCATCTTGCATAGCTGAAACTTTGTACCCTTTGATCAATATCACCTCATTTCCCCCTCCCTTCAATCCCTTGGCAACCACCATCCTACTTCTGCTTCTGTGAGCTTGACTATGAGATTCCCATACGAGTGAGATCATGCAGTATTTTTCTGTGTCTAGCTTATTTTGCTTAGCAAAATGCCGTAAAGCTCCATCTATGTGGTCACAAATGGCAGGATTTTCTTCTTTTAAGGCTGAATAGTATTCCTTTATATATACATACATTTTGTTTTTCATTCATCCATTGGTGGACCCTTAGGTTGATTCCATATCTTGGCTATTGTGAATAATAACATAATGAACATAGTAATATCAATACCTATTTGCAATTGTGATTTCAATTCCTTTGAATATATAACCAGAAGTGGAATTGCTGGATCATATGATAGTTCTATTTTTAATTTTTTGAGTCACTTTCATATTGACTTCCATAATGGCTATGGAAACACACTTATCTTTTGTCTTTTTGACAGCAGCCATTCTAACCTGTTGGAGGTGATACCTCATTGTGGTTTTGACTTGCATTTTCCCTGATAATCAGAAATATTGAGCAACTTTTCCTATTCCTGTTGGCCTTTTGAGTTTCTTCTTTTGAGGTCCTTTGTCCGTTTTTAAATTGTTATTTGTAACTTTGGTATTAAGTTGTATGAGTTCCTTACATATTTAGGATTTAATCCCTTATAGAATATATGGTTTGCAAATATTTTTCTCTCATTCTGAAGATTGCCTTTACATTTTGTTGACTGTTTGCTATGCAGAAGCTTTGTAGTTGGGTGTGGCCTCATCTATTTTTGCTTTTGTTGCCTGTCCTTTTGTTGTCATATCAAAAAAAAATTATTGCCAAGATCAATTTCAAGGAGATTTTTCCTTATGCCTTATTCTACGGTTTCGTGGTTTCAAGTTTTACATTTAAGTCTTAATTTTGAGTTGATTTTACGTATGGTATAATGGTTCAATTTCATTCTTTTGCTCTTGGATATACGGTTTGCCCAACATCACTTTTTTTAAATTATACTTTAAGTTTTGGGTTACACGAGTAGGTTTGTTACATAGGTATACACGTGCCATGGTGGTTTGCTGCACCCAACAACCTATCATCTACATCAGGTATTTCTCCTAATACTATCCCTCCTCTAGCACCCCATCCCCCAACAGGCCCTGGTTTTTGATGTTCCCCTCCCCGTGTCCATGTGTTCACATTGTACAACTCCCACTTATGAGTGAAAACATGCAGTGTTTGGTTTTCTGTTCCTGTGTTGATTTGCTGAGAATGATTTCCAGCTTCATCCATGTCTCTGCAAAGGACATGAACTCATCCTTTTTTATGGCTGCATAGTATTCTATGGTGTACAGGTGCTACATTTTCTTTATCCAGTCTATCATTGATGGGCATCTGGGTTGGTTCCAAGTCTTTGCTGTTGTGAATAGTTCTGCAATAAACATACACGTTAATGTGTCTTTATAGTAAAATGATTTCTAATCCTGTGGGTGTATACCCAGTAATGGGATTGCTGGGTCAAATGGTATTTCTGGTTCTAGATCCTGTCTTTAACAATGGTTGACCTAATTTACACTCCCACCAACAGTATAAAAGCATTCCTATTTATCCACATCCTCTCAAGCATCTGTTGTTTTCTGACATTTAAATGATCGCCATTCTAACTCGCATCAGATGGTATCTCATTGTGGTTTTGATTTGCATTTTTCTAATGACCAGTGATGGTGAGCTTTTTTTCACATATTTGTTGGCTGCATAAATGTCTACTTTCAGAAGTGTCTGTTCATATTCTTCACCCACTTTTTGATGGGGTGGTTTTTCTTGTAAATTTAAGTTCCTTGTAGATTCTGAATATTAGACCTCTGTCAGATTGATAGACTGCAAAAATTTTCTCCCATTCTGTAGGCTGTCTGTTCACTCTGATAGTTTCTTTTGCAGAGCAGAGTGCTTTAGTTTAATTAGATCCCATTTGTCAATTTTAGTATTTGTTGCCATTGCTTTTGGTATTTTACTCATGAAGTCTTTGCCCATGCCTATGTCCTGAATGGTATTGCCTATGTTTTCTTCTAGGGTTTTTATGGTTTTACGTCTTACGCTTAAGTCTTTAATCCATCTTGAGTTAATTTTTGTATAAGGTGTAAGGAAGGGGTCTAGTTTCAGTTTTCTGCATATGGCTAGCCAGCTTTCCCAACACCACTTATGAAATAGGAAATTCTTTCCCCATTGCTTGTTTTTGTCAGGTTTGTCAAAGATCAGATGGCTGTAGAGTGTGGCATTATTTCTGAGGCCTCTGTTCTGTTCCATTGGACTATATATATGTTTTGGTACCAGTACCATGCTGCTTTTGTTACTGTAGCCTTATAATATAGTTTGAAGACAGGTAGTGTGATCTTTCCAGCTTTGTTATTTTTGCTTAAGATTGTCTTGGCTGTACGGCCTTTTTGGTTTCATATACAATTTAAAGTAGTTTTTTTTCTAATTCTATTCTCCCGGCCTGCAAGGTTTGTTGAGGAATAAACTGAGAGTCATATAGAGGTTCCCTTATATGTGATAAATTGTTTTTCTTATGTTTTTTTTTTTTAACATTCTTTGTCTCTTGATTTTTGACAGTTTAATTATAATGTCTCTCAGTGTAGACTTCTTTATGTTCAACCTATTCAGGGTTTTATGGGCATCTTGAGTCTGGATGTCTACCTATTTTCCCAGATTTTGGAAATTTTCAGTTTTTATATCTTTAAATAAGTGTTTCTCCTTGTTTTCATTTTCCCCTCCAGAACTCTCATTATGTATATACTGATTTACTTGATGATGTGTTACATAAATCCCCTATGCTTTCTTCACTATTTTTCATTCCTTTTTCTTTTTTCTCCTACAACTGGGTAGTTTCAAATAACCTGTCTTTGGGCACTACACTCTTTTCTTCTGCTTAATTGAGGCTAATGTTGAGACTTGCTATTTTTTCAGCTCAGCTGTTAAATTCTTCAGCTCCAGGAATTGTTTTTTTCTTTTAATTTCAATGTGTTTTTAGGAGAATAGGTGGTGTGTGGTTACACAAATAAGTTCATTAGCAGTGATTTGTGAGATTTTGGGGTACCCGTCATCCAAGCAGTGTACACTGTATCCAATGTGTAGTCTTATTCCTCACCCCCCACAATTTTCCCTGAGTCTCAGTCCATTGTATCATTCTTATGCCTTTGCATCCTCATAGTTTAGCTCCCACTTATGAATGAAAACATACAATGTTTGGTTTTCCATTCCCTAGTTACTTCACTTAGAATAATGGTCTCCAGTTCCATCCAGGTTGCTGTGAATGCCATTATTTCATTCCTTTTTATGACTGGGTAGTGTTCCATATACACATTTCCATTGTTGATTAATGGGCATTTGAGCTGGTTACATATTTTTGCAATTGCAAATTGTGCTTCTATAAACACGTGTGTGCAGGTACCTCTTTCATATTATTACTTCTTTTCCTCTGGGTAGATGCCCAGAAGTGGGATTGCTGGATCAAATGGTAGATCAATTTTTAGTTCTTTAAGAAATCTTTACGCTGTTTTCCATAGGGGCTGTACTAGTTTACATTCCCATCAACAGTGTCAAAGTGTCCCATTTTCACCACACCCATGCCATTTTTTTGATTACGGCCATTCTTGCAGGAGTGAGGTGGTATTGCATTGTGGGTTTGATTTGCATTTCCCTATCAGTTAGTGATGATTAGCATTTTTTCATGTTTGTTGTCCATTTGCATATTTTCTTTTGAGAATTGTCTATTCATGTCCTTAGCCCACTTTTTGATGGGATTGTCTGTTTTGTTTTTCCTGATTTGAATGAGTTCCTTAGAGATCCTGTGTATTAGTCCTCTGTTGGATGTATAGACTGCAAAGATTTTCTTCCACTCTGTGGGTTGTCTGTTTCCTCTGCTATTCTTTTGCTGTGCAGAAGATTTTTAATTTAATTAAGTCCCATCTATTTATCTTTGTTTTTGTCGTATTTGCTTTTGGGTTCTTGGTCATGAAGTCTTTACCTAAGCCAATGTCTAGAAGTGGTTTTCCAATGTTATCTTCTAGATTTTTATGGTTTCAGGTCTTAGATTAAGTCTTTGATCAATCTTGAGTTTATTTTTCTATAAGGTGAGAGATGAGAATCCAGTTTCATTCTTCTATATGTGGCTTGACAAGTATCCCAGCATCATTTGTTGAATAGGGTGCCCTTTCTCCACTTTACGTTTTTGCTTGCTTTGTCCCTCTGTCTTTTTTAACTCCTGTTGCTTTAAAGTTGGTATAAGAATAGTTACTCCTTCTCACTTTTGATGTCCATTTGCATGAAATATCTTCTTTCATCCCTTTACCTTAAGTTTATAAGAGTCCTTGTGTGTCAGGTGAGTCTCTTGAAGACAGCATATACTGGTTGGTGAGTTCTTATCCATTCCACCATTCTGTATCTTTTAAGTTGAGCATTTAGGCAATTTACATTTAACATTAACATTGAGATGTAACATATTATTCTAGTCATTATGTTATTTCTTGCTTGAATACCATATTGTTGTTTTTCATTGTGTTTTATAGATCCTGTGAGACTTATGCTTTAAGAAGATTCTATTTTGGTACCTTTCAAGAATCTGTTTCAAGATTTAGAGCTCCTTTTATCAGTTCTTATAGTGCTGGCTTGGTAGTGGTGAATTTTCTCAGCATTTTCTTGTATAAAAATGACTATTTTTCCTTCATTTATGAAGTTTAGTTTCACTGGATACAAAATTCTTGGCTGATAATTGTTTTGTGTCAGGAAGTTAAAGAGAGGACCCCAATCCCTTTTAGCTTGTAGGGTTTCTGCCAAGAAATCTGCTGTTAATCTGATACGTTTACTTTATAGTTTACCTGATGCACTTCCTTAGCAGCTCTTAAGATTCTTTTCTTAGCCTTGCCTTTAGATAACCTAATGAATGTGTGCCTAGGCAATGATCTTTCTGTGGTAAATTTCCCAGGTGTTCTTTGAGCTTCTTGTATTGGAATACCTAGATCTCTAACAAGGCTGAGTGAGTTTTACTCAATTACTCCCTCAAATACGTTTTCCAAACTTTTAGATTTATCTTCGTCCTCAGGAATACCAAATATTCTTAGGTTTGGTCATTTAACACAATCCCAAACTTCTTGGAGGCTTTGTTCATTTTGTTAAAATTCTTTTTTCTTTGTATATGTCAGATTGGGTTAATTCAAAAGCCTTGTCTACAAGCTTTAACATTCTTTCTTCTATTTGTTTGATTCTATTGATAAGACTTTCCCATGCATTTTGCATTTCTCTAAGTGTATCCTTGATTTCCAGAAGTTGTGACTGTTTTTAATTTATGCTATCTATTTCACTGGAGATTTTTCCATTTGTAACCTGTATCAATTTTTTTTTCTTTAAGTTGGACTTCACCTTTCTCTTGTCTTGATTGGCTTAATAATTGACCTTCTGAATTATCTTTCTGGCAATTCAGAGGTTTTGCATTCGTTTGGAACTATCGATGGTGAACTAGTGTGATTTTTGGGGGTGTTAAAGAAACTTGTTTTGTCATATTTCCAGAATTGTTTTTCTGGTTTCTTCTCATTTGGGTAGACTATGTCAGAGGGAAGATTTGGGACTCAAAGGTTGCTGTTCAGATTCTTTTGTCCCACAGGGGTGCTCCTTTGATGTGGTGCTCTCCCTTTTCCCCTATGGATAGGGCTTCCTGAGAGCCTAACTGCAGTGATTATTACTTCTCTTCTGGATCCAGCCACCCAGCAGGGCTACCAGGCTCCAGGCTGGTATTGGTGAGTATCTGCAAAGAGTCCTGTGATGTGATCTATTTTCATGTCTCTCAGCCATGGATAACAGCAGCTACTCCAGTGGAGGTAGCAGGGGAGTGAAGTAGACTCTATGAGGCTCATTGACTGTATTTTTGTTAAGTGCACTGGTTTTGTGTTGTTTGGCCTCCAGCCAGGAGGTGGCACTTTCCAAAGCATATTAGCTGGGGTTGTATGGGGAGGATCAGGTGGTAGGTGGGTCCATAGAGCTCTCAAGAGATTATGTCCCTTGTCTTTGGCTGCTAGGGCTGGTAGAGAAAGACCACCAGGTGTGGGCAGGTTAGACATGTCTGAGCTCTGACTCTCCTTGGGCAGAGCTTGCTGCAGCTGCTGTGGGGGATGGTGATGTGATTCCCAGGCCAATGGAATTATGTGTTCAGGGGGAGTATGGCTATCTTTGCTGCATCACACAGGTCACTAGGGAAGTGGGGAAAAGCTGGCAACTACAGGCCTCAACCAGCTCCCACACAGCCCATAGACTGAAAGGCTGGTCTTACTCCCATGTGCCCATCTGCCTCCCTCACCCAACAGCACCAGGTTTATTTCCAGGAAGCTGGTAAGTAGAGCTGAGATGTGCCCCAGGCTACAAGCATCCCAGCTGGAAAATCAAGTGGACTCACAGTTCCTTGGCTGTCCCAGGGAGCCTGTAGTGGCATTCCACTTCCTTGAAAGGGTCTGTGAATTCTCTTGGCTTTCCTGGTATTCCTGTGGTAGTTCTAAGAGCAAAAGTTCATGATGTGAGTCTCCACACACTGCTCTATCTGTCAGGGGGGAGCTGCAAGTTAGTCCTGCCTCCTAGCCACCATTTTCCCCCAGTTGTTTCTTTTTCTATTTTTTAAAATCTCTTTGTTGAAGTCATTTTGTCCCTGTTTTCCTAATTTTGTTATGTTGTTTATCTGTGTTGTCTTGTAGCTCACCAAGCTTCTGAAGAACAAATATTTTAAATTATTTGGCAGGTAACTCACGAATACCTGTTTCTTTGGGGTCAGTTACTATAAGTTTGTGTTCCTTTGGTGGTGTCATAGTTTTCTGAATTTTTGTTTTTCTTGTATCTTTGCATTGGTGTCAGTGCATTTGAAGCAGCACTTACCTCTTCCAGATTACCTTTGTTAAGAAAAGCTCTTAGAGGGGGAGTGGAAGTATGCTGTGACACCGAGTCTACTGGCATGTGAGGTGCCAAATGCAGTAACTTGTCACAGCTCTGCATCCACAAAGGACAGGAGTGATGGCACAGGAGCTGAAGTAGCCAGGGTCTACAACATTTGGCTACTATGTGGTCTTCAGCAGTGAATGTTGTGGGGGTTTTGTGGTGCCCATGAGGGCTGCTGGGGTCCTTAGTGGTGGCCACTGGGTAGAGCAGCAAATGCACCTGCATAGGTAATGCCAAAGTTGGCAGTAAAGACTGGGGACAGCTAGGGGTGCACAGGAGGGCTGGTGGCAAGTTAGTGGAACGTATGTCTGTGGCACTAACAACTAAGATCAGCAGCAGGTGTGGCAAGAAATGCAGTGGCAAGAGATGGCCTTGGGCAGGCATATGTATGGCAGTGCAAACCACCAGTGCATATGTGGCTCCAACAGCGAAAGGCACTAGCAGACAAATGTGCAGTGGTGAGAGCTGTGTAAGGGCATGCATGCAGTGGTGCAAATAAGCAGTGCTTGCATGCATTGTGGTTGATAGCCAGGGCCAGCTGTGTGCATGTACATGCCCATGAGAATTGGTCACAGATAAATGTGGTGATTAAACTTGAGGCTAGTGGGTCAGTGCCAACTGCAGGCATGCATGCAGTGACTGCACTGGTTCCCAGGGTTTGGGTGCCCACAGAGGCAATGACTGGGGCAGCTCCACTGGAGGTAAAAATAACCTAGTCAGCTAGGGTCCATGAAATAAAAAGCCAGGAGGCCATCTGTGGTAAGAGCCATGGGAATTCCAATGCAACTGGGAGGTCCTCAGTCAAGAAGGGTGCTGGGGTCATCTGAAGACCAGGTCACTATGAACCATGATAGCACCTGCCACATGGCTGATACAATGTTCTCTGCCCTTCTTCTTTATTTCTAGCTGCTTCCAGATATCTCAGCTAGGCCAGTCTTCCCAGAGATTTCAGTGGGATAAAACCAATGTCTTTTGGGCATTACCTACAAAGTGCAAAGAAGCTGGACACTCGCCCTGCTCTCATTTTCACCTGTGAGGGTAACACTTGGCACTCAGCTGTGCCAGACTGAGGGATAGTGTGATAAACATGAGACTTCCTCATACCTATTCTGTGTGGTTATTTGTGGCTTTTGTTTGTTTTGCTTTGATTTTTTGCTCTGCTATCCTGCTGCAGCTTCTTATCTAGACTCCAAAGCTCTCCCACAGCTATTTCCACTCCTGGATGCCTATCGAATTATTGTTTGCTTGTGGGGTTGAGGGCCAGGGTCTCCTACTCTACCATCTTGTTGATAACACTCCCTTCTTGAATATCTTGTATGTTTTCCCCTCAAAAGAAGAAATCATTTGGTAATGAGAGTAAAGTTAAGTAACTTTATTAAATTTTAGAGAACAGTGTATCAGCTGGTAAACTGTTCTGTGCTGGCTTATTTCCCTCTTACTTCACAAACCTTATTAAGTGGATTTTCTAAGTCTTGTGCTATCCAAGACAGCTAGAAAGAATATCAACTAATTTGTTATTGTCCCTCAAGTAAATGCAGGTCTCTCCTCAACTCTCATATACACACACAAACTTGAACTGGGGAACTGTGTATTTGTTTATCTCTGGGTTATCATTCAATGCCTTGTAGATTGCCTGAAATATTTTTTGAATGATTGAACAGTCACAAGTACTGATTATCTGAGGAAACTTCATATAATTAAATTCAAAGTATATCATTCAGTGATAAATAATAAACACAATAACAACAAAATGTTGGATTTTCTTTTTTACCTTTTCATTTTGTACATAAAACTGTAGATAGTTAGAAAAAGGATTTCTTTAATATTATTATTATTATTATTATTATTTTTTAGCTCTGTCACCTAGGCTGGAGTGCAGTGGCACAATCTTGGCTCACTGCAGCCTCCACCTCCCAGGTTCAAGTGATTCTGCTGCCTTAGCCTCCCAAGTAGCTGATAGTCCCAGCTACTTGGGAGGCTGAGGCAGGAGACTACCCCATGCCTGGCTGATTTTTTTATTTTTAGTAGAGACAGGGTTTCACCATGTTGGCCAGGCTGGTCTTGAACACCTGACCTCAGGTGATCTGTCCACCTTGGCCTCCCAACCTGCTAGGATTACAGGCATGAGCCACTGCACCCAGCTATCTAGCTTAATTTTTAAAAGGGGTGCCCTCAAACTATCTTACTACCACCACAGCCTCCTTAAGTAGCAAAACATTCAATTACTTGAGGTCCAGAACTCAGGGTGCCTATTATGGTCACATATGAAAGTAGGCCAAAAACAAAAAGTAGAGCTTTCATTTATTTTTATCTGACT